CATTTAAAACGAAAATTGATTTGAGTACTTACCTATGAAAACATATACTTATGTGAATTTTTTCCTAGAACAAAAATAATTTTAAACACATACAACCTCCTTTTTTGTAGTCGGTGAACAAGAGCGAGCAACACATTAGTATACACAAACTAAGTGATTAATTAACCATAACCCCGGGCTCTGGTAACGACTGTGGACGTCGCATTATTATTTCACGCGGTGTCACCCGCCCGTCTGGCCTCGCCTTACTGAATAATAACTGACGACTTGAATTTATCACGGCATAACATAGGGATGGCGAGATATCTTTATACTGGATTTAAATTGTGTATCTAAAGGGTTTTTTACTTAAATGAAAAGCAAGAGTTCAAAAAAACGCAATATTGAACGTATTGTTATCAATTTTATAATTACTTTTTGTTCGGAAATCACGATTTTTCTTTTGAATATACTGAGAGCTTCACTAGTTTAAGTCACAACTAGGTTCGTCGTGCCATAACGAGTCTCGTTATGAATTTAAAATAATTGTCACAATAATTACTATAGGAATCAAAAATAATGTTTGCCACGTCCTGTGTTGAGCAGCAATCAGCAGCAACAAAAACTCATTCATCAGGTTCATCAGGCTGGGGGCTCATGAGCCCTTGAACTTGAAACCAGTCGAGTTCCTCGTAAAATTGTGGCAAAATTATTGCCGTTTAATATAATATTTTTTAAATAATTGTATCTTTTTACTCTTTGTTAATAAGATAATAATATGTATTCCCTTTATTATCACTAGAATACAGGCATTTTTAAATCAATTACACACATGTAGTTCAAATACATAAAAACATTTTCAGTTTCAGTGAAATACAAATAGAACGTTTACAAACATGTTACTGAAACCTGAAACCGTATTCCTTAAGGCGTTCACACTTAACGCGTAAACAATATGGCCTCCTGAAACTGAAGATTACGTTGATATAAATAATGAAAATAGACAACCTTTACTCGTGATTTGTATTGTACGTCCCGTTAATAATACATTTTCTTGTATTGTACTGTGCGAATAAAAAATATGTGCAGAAGTACCATTCAGGTGATCTTAGAAGAGTTAGTACTTGCGGTCATTCAAATGTTATAGATGAACTGTAACGGCCTTTTCTTTTCCAGCATTTACCGACCACAAACTTATATATTGTAACAAAAGAGAAATTATAACATTATTGATACTTTTACCTAACTCGTAACTTATTCTATTTTTGCGTTTTGATTGTCCGTACAAGTTCAAGATCGTCCGATCACTTAGTCGCATACATCTGTCCTTCTGCGATAAAAGCGCTGTACATTTCCATAGAAAACCACTCAGACGATCAGAAATAACAAGCTATAGCTGGACTTAGCTAAACATATATTTCTACATAAAAAAAAAAGTTTTATTTACATTATTCATTGAGGTACACTTCAGTTCTGTCTGTCAAACTCCTACACATTATAACAGCTAGACCTTTCTCAATGTCTGTTAAACTTCACTGGACCTTTGCTATATGTTTTTGTATATTGACTTTACGCAGAATGAGTTGATCCTTGCTTATCTGGCTGGGAGGGGGCTGAGGTCAGAGCGCGAATATTTTAATAGCAATGAAGCTCCACGGCTCTACCTATTGTTCCTAAGGAAAAATAAATAGCAATTTCTGAGTGAAGTGAAGACGGTCAACAGTTTTTTTGTTTGCTTCCTTATTCAGTAGTTTGGGAAAGGTTTTTCTTTAAACGTTGTTTTGTAGTTTTGTGATTTATGGATGTTATGTTTTCTTTGAAAAGAGCACGTATTTAAGGCCATACTACATGGAAGTCACAAGGAACTCATAATATAACCACATTATTACATTGAAATTCGTCTGTCATACAAAGTGAGTATTACATAAGCTCCTCAAATTCATAGATGTTTAAAGGGGGGCCTATAATGACACAAGCTTTGAATACACATTGGCAAAATAGAACTGCATGATTGATTATAATACATACATCATTATCATTACCATCCTGCTGAACAAAGGCCTCATGCGGAGCATTAATCACCACGCTTGCTCTAAGTGGATTGACGACTTCAAACCCGTATGTAATTTGAAGTTATTTATCCAGGATTATCCACGATGTTTTTCTTCACCGTATGTCTAAAAATCTTATTACTTACCTTCATATAAAAATGTCGGAAAAAGTCACATCGGGACATACTGAATTTATTAAAAATAACGACTTATTCACGTGAATTAATTTAGAGAAGCTCTATTAGTTTCAAGACATAACGGGACTCTTATTCATGGACGGCGTCTTTCTCAGGTTTCGAATTCTATTACATATTGCCTTAACAGTCGGGAAACCACAACGTTCCATTGAGGGAATAAAACAGCACCACTATATACTAAACTATCTAGTCTCGCGCGGTTTCACCCATTGCTCAGCTACATTTGATCGTAGCGTGATGTTTAATAGCCTATAGCACTCAGGAACATTGTAGCTACCTATCAGTGAAAAAATTTTGCCAGTCCGACCAGCGGTTCCAAAGATTACCCCCCACATACAAACTTACAAATTTTACGTCTTTATAATATTAGTTTAGATGACGATAATATTTATATTATTATTCATTGGTATATAAATCATATGTTTCATCGGTCCACATTAATTTATCTCTAAGCATATTTCTACTGTAAACGTATGTACATAATGCCGTCTACTCCGATTTGTCACAGTCATCCACGACCTTGTGCCTCGAAAAGATATCTAGAAAACCTTTTTTTTTCAACCTAACGTACTAGATGTTTGAATATTGTATGTTAAATGTTAGAAAAGAAAATAAGTATAATATGTGTTATTTCTTTTATACCACCTACTAACCTACTTTTCTTTTTTAGGGATATGAATAACTAACTGTCTTGGAAATTTCCGCTACGAAATAATTAGAAGATCTTACTTGAGAAGAAGAAAATAAAACAGAAAACAACAATTTTCTCGAACTACATTCACAGCGTTTCGCGAAGGAAAAGAGATATTTTAGGTAGAGTTCCTCTTGAAAATAATGATTTGCATTATTTGGCCGTAGACAAAGTCGAGCAGTTTCTCTGACATTTCATAACTTTGAAACAATGCGAAGTAAAAATGTTTTAAACTGCATTGTAATGGACTCGAGTTTTATTATGTTTTAGCTAGCAAGGGGTACCTAAGGCGAGTTATTTTTGCGTTAACATGATCGAAGGGTTGTCGCGTATAGGACTTCGATTGGATGGCGAATTTGTCGGATCACCTCGTTTCGAATACGATCCTTCAGAGAGACGCCAAGCATAGCCCTTTCCATAGCTCGCTGCGCGACTTTAAATTGGTGGATCAGTCGCACTGTAAGTGTCCACGTCTCGGATCCGTATGTCATCACTGGTAGGAGGCACTTATTGAAGACTTTTGTCTTTAGGCTTTTCGGTATCTTTGACGAGAATACCCGACTGAGTTTCCTATACGCTGCCCAGCCAAGCTGTATCCATCTACGAGCCTCCCTCTCGAAGTTGTTTCTACCGAATTGGATAGTTAACAAGTCGATCGCCTTAACGAAAAGTAAACTTGCAATAGGAACTGTTATATAGACAATTAGTTTCATTACTTCACGTTGTTAAATAAAAACAACGCGGTATTTTTTTTATAAAATCCTATATTCATAAGTGTAAAGACCCTTTCCCTTACAGTAACACTGGTTGGCCACTGCGTCAACCGTGCAGTCGATAAAGAAAAATGTTTTATCAGGTTATCGGCCAGAAGTAATTAATACTTAATCGAACTTAATAAATTTTAATCTTATAAATAAAGCTAAAATTTTGTAACTCCACAAACCAATTTATTCACAAAACTAATTAAATACCGACACAGCTATCTCTACGAAACAGTTACCGCGGCTCCTTAAATCCCAAACATCCCAGTTTTTGTCCTAAAATCTCAATAATCTAAGCTGCTCCACAGAACCTTTGTTCGTTAACAATCGTCAAGCGATTATAGACCTTATTGTCTCATAGCGCCCATGGGATGAGAGGTGAAACTTGGACGGAGTTCATTATAAAGGATTCACAGGGTGTTATTTAAGTTTGTGAGTTTGAAATGGCGCGTGGTTTGTTTTGTTTTATAAAGATGGCGTGTTGGGTGACATTTCTTGTTTAATAAGACAAATATGTCAATTATATGCATTTATAATAGAAAATACACGAAACTATTAGTTGGTTGCAGTTTTTAAATGATAGGCCAGCAAACTGGCCGTTCACCTGAAGGTAAGCATGGACGCTGCACATGGACATCCGCAAAACTGAGTTTTAAGTACGTTAGCCTTTTAGGACTTTGAGATTTGAGGATTTGAATTTTGGGGTTCGGTGATGGGGGGAGTATGAGGAGTCGCCCCCAAGTTATGTCATTTACACGGCAAAACACAACACTCGTTGTTTCACGTCGGTTTTCTATGAGGTCGTGTGAAATCACTCCAGTCGAGCCATATCATTTAAAAGTGAATAATAGAAGTTCTTTATTTAATAGTGGCTTCTATCAGCGGCTTCACTCGCGTTTCCTTGATAAAACTACCCTATGTTTTATTTCAGATGATAAACTATTTCCGTGCCAAATTTAAGTCCGATCCGTTTAGTAGTTCTTTCGTAAAATGTTATCAACATCCGTGCAATTTCATTTGGATATTTCTCTGTGTGAACTACTTCGGAGTAATGCATTTGTATGCGTCAAAACGAATAGCTGCAAAAGGTCTTTAATAAAACTTAGCTCTTTGAATTTCATTCACAGACATGAATGATAGTACTATAGTATTTCTACATTTATTTGGAATTTTCTCCCGTTTCATTTAGAATTTGTGTACATATATGAAAATACTTTGTATTAATAGGGTGACTAATTTAGTAAAGGATTTGAAATCAAATACTGTACGAATGTTGTAATCTTACAGCTGTCTTTTGTTTTTGAAATGTTACATTCCTCAAATGTCTTTTCCCGCCCTTGGCGAACAGAGAAAGAAAGACAGAGAGAGAGAGAAAGACAGACAGAGAGAGAGAGAAAGACAGACAGAGAGAGAGAGAAAGACAGACAGAGAGAGAGAGAAAGACAGACAGAGAGAGAGAGAAAGACAGACAGAGAGAGAGAGAAAGACAGACAGAGAGAGAGAGAAAGACAGACAGAGAGAGAGAGAAAGACAGACAGAGAGAGAGAGAAAGACAGACAGAGAGAGAGAGAAAGACAGACAGAGAGAGAGAGAAAGACAGACAGAGAGAGAGAGAAAGACAGACAGAGAGAGAGAGAAAGACAGACAGAGAGAGAGAGAAAGACAGACAGAGAGAGAGAGAAAGACAGACAGAGAGAGAGAGAAAGACAGACAGAGAGAGAGAGAAAGACAGACAGAGAGAGAGAGAAAGACAGACAGAGAGAGAGAGAAAGACAGACAGAGAGAGAGAGAAAGACAGACAGAGAGAGAGAGAAAGACAGACAGAGAGAGAGAGAAAGACAGACAGAGAGAGAGAGAAAGACAGACAGAGAGAGAGAGAAAGACAGACAGAGAGAGAGAGAAAGACAGACAGAGAGATAGAGATAGAGAGATAGAGATAGAGAGAGATAGAGAGAGAGAGGTAGAGAGAGAGAGAGAGAGAGAGAGAGAGAGAGAGAGAGAGAGAGAGAGAGAGAGAGAGAGAGAGAGAGAGAGAGAGAGAGAGAGAGAGAGAGAGAGAGAGAGAGAGGGGGGGGGGGGGGGGGGGCGGTCGGATTCTACCAATAGCATATTCGGCTGGACATCGATCTGATTAGGCTCCTTCTACATATTATGGTCTGATGCTGATGGCTCTTTGATTACGTGTCATGTAACAGCTTATTTAATTAATTTGTGCTTATTGTACATGTTCTATTAATGAGTTACATAGGCCTAATGATACCTATGTGTCATATGTCATTAAACTCACTCATAAACGGTGACTTGAAATTTGTTTATTGTAATACACGCAATTCTGTGGGTCTTAATTAATCCTATTGTTACAATTGTTGGTTTGTTTATAAAATGTTGTGTTTGCTAATAAAATTAGGACACAGGAGTAAAATGCGTGGCATTCGAGTAATATGCTTATAATTAATTGTAGTTTATCTTTTTTGATGGTAATCATCAAATGACTTCTCTCGCCCAGCGTGAGGCGAGAGAGAGAGCGAGTGAGTTAGACTATTACTCATTAAAACCCCGTTCCTTCTCCTGCTAACAGAAAACAGCTTACTTTATCTATACTAATATTATCAAACTGAAGAGAACGCGCTGATCTCTGGAACCACTGGTTCGAATTAGATTTTTATGTGATAGGTCGGCAAATGAGCAGACGGATTACCTGACGGTAAGCAACAAGCGCCGCCCTTGGACACCCTCAACAACAGAGGAGTTGCGAGTGCGTTGCCGACCTTTTACGCTGTAGGTAGTTGTTTCACGCCGGTTTTCTGTAAGAAAAAGAAACCGCGCTACCTTATCCGGGCAGCGGCGAACTTGGGAAGGGATAGGATTAGCCACTTGTGTAACATTTAAAGTAACGATAGACCTATCTAAAGCAATACATAAAATATGTCTGTTTAACCGAACGAACAATATCTCAGATTTATGCAAAGCTCACTAACACAGGGACACTATACGAATACATTATTCATTTGTAGTGTCGGATGCTAGTTAGGTCTTTGACAAATACAGGGTGTAATCATACTTACACAAACATATGTTCTCTAGCCGTTAGGATGATAATTCCCCTTTTCTACATGATTAAGTGAAATCATCCGTTTCTTAGGTATGGAGGTGTTTTCGAAACTTGTGACGTCATATGCTCTTCTATAATATAAAAATGAATCGCAAAATGTGTTGGTAAGCGCATAACTCGACAACGACTGGACCAATTTTGCTAATTCTTTTTTTGTTATGTCCGTTATTACAAGGAGAAGGTTCTTACGCAAGAAAAATTTAGAAAAGTAAAGGGGAATATCGGGATTTAACAATCCTTTCGGAGCTGTGGTCGTTTGTTAAAAAAACAAATGACTAACGGGGTACTCGGATACCCACCAGTGCAGGGCAGCGCAGGGGCGGTCCGCTAGTTCTTAATATTTTTATATACAACTGACATACGTTGAAGAAAAATAACGCGACGAAAGCTGAATTTATGATTTCTAATTATAATTCTGAATATCTAAGTAGCCTTTATAATTTCTAATTAGCCTTTGCGATACCAGTGTTATAATAGTGGTATTTATGAGAATTTTATAAATGTCTTCCAAACTTGAAACTCAGATAACAAGGGATTGTTGTTGATTTCAAAGTTTATTTTTTACTGTTTTTTTTTTTTGGAACAAAAATGTTTACTGGTGTTTGGGACTAAAATAAAAATATCAATATTGCATCGATATCAATGGAAAAAAGATTGACTGACTATACTCAATATTTAAAGAATATAAATATTTATGATTAAAAAAATATATATTGTAATAAAAAAGTGAGGTACGTAAGTAAATATATTTATCAGACGAAATAAACATCACAATTTCGTTTTAAAGTTTCGTTCAACATAACCCGCTTCAGTTTCAACTACATTAAAAAAGTTGAACTTAATATTAAATTTCTTTATTTTTCTTGTAATAGCTTTAACAACGGGGTTATCTTTGAACTCAAACTTAGTTCGTTGTTAACTTAAAAACTCAGGATCTTGAACTTTTAAATGCAAGTTCGTGACTTTAAGTTGGAAGAGAAAAATATTTGAACGAACTTCAAAACTTTTTGTTATGGATGATCTTATGGCTTATGACTTGTTTTTTAGCGATGTTCTGTAATACTATTTTTTGTACAAGATTTTTCTCTAAGGAAAAATATATTGTATTCGTAATTTGAAATAGTTTTAGCAGTGTTCGAATTATTGATTTTAAAGTGAATCATAAAACAACATTTATTAAAAATAAAAGACTCACTCACGTGGATAAAATGATAAAAACTGTACTAGTTTCAAGTACAAACGATATCGCCGCGATGCGAGAGATGATCTCCGGCCATCGTAAGCGCGTGTCTGCGGACGGTGAGTAAGGGCAGCTCGCCCTCGCCGCTCGCAAAGAGCCAATAGACCACCACAGATGGAGCCCTATCGGGCTGATGTTCAGCCAGGGTTGCGTGTTAAGCGCAAGGGATCAGAGCAGGATAGGAAATGGAACGGGGGGTTCTTAGTCAATAAGAGTCTGACACTCCCTCCCGCCCTACCCTGGACGGGAGAAGTCGTTTGATGATTTCCCCTGACAAAAAAAAATCCCGCGATGCGCGCATATATGTCTCCCGTTGTTTATACTTAACTTGAAACTAGTAGCGCTTTTTTCAGAATAATTCGTTATCATCAAATAACTTAGCATGTCTAGTTACCACACAAAGACTTGGATATTTCTTTTATCAGTAGTACCTATTTATGTATGCATCACGGGTTACTATTTTTTTAATGTAAAAGGCAAGCAAAAACTTGTATATCAATCGAACTAAAAAGGCTATAAGTAAAAATGGAAACGCTTGAAAATATATGGTTTAAAAACTAAAAATACATTCAAACCTAACATTTTATTTACATTTCTATCATTCCCTACGAAGTCTTTGTTACTGCGATTTGTTTCCAAGTCAATATAGTCTTTGTTTTCATAGAATTAATAGTGCTTACATATCACAGTTTGCACGTCTTTATTTCGTTGTTTTCCTACAACTGTTTACACACACGCGGAAAATACACAGGAAATTCAAGGGACTGCTATCAAAGCTCTGTTTTACCTTATTCAAAGGGTCACCGGGGTCATTTCGGTTGGCCTATTTCAAAGGTAAACTCTGCCCACTTGTCTTTTAGTGTCGCGTTTATTAATATACTGACCGTGACGGTATATGTAGATTAGGAACTCTATAAAAACATAAATTTATCATCATTAGCCTATAAGTGCCTACTGAGAGTGAGCAAAGGCCTCTTCTCACACGAAGAATGTTTGAGTGTTAATCACCACGCTCGCTCAATGAAACAATGAAATGATGTACTAATTTTTGAAAATAGGCCATAAAACAACACTTTTACACGTCTAAAATATATGTTTAAAAACTAGGTGAAACGGGTTATGATAGATTGATTGATAGATTTGGTCAGGATGTTTTCCTTCGTTGTTTGTTAGTGGTGTCTAAATAATCAATGTGTAGAGTACATATAAGTAACTCAGAAAAATTCACAGCGTAGCGTTGTTGGGTAAAAATAGCTCGTTTGGTATTTGAAACAAGATCTATTTTGAATTTCTTGTAATGGAGTCCATAGCTTACTTTACCCTACCTAAGAGCCATATCGTTAATGTGTAAGACATTTTCTACCACAATACATACTTACGTGTATCAAAAAAAAAACACTATAAACAAAAAAAAAATATACATATTTTCTTTTCTTTACCTAATAAAAGTGTCTCGGTGTATAAAAAAGCATTTTTTCACAGTTTATGATGTGTAAGATATGTCTGGAAACTGCCGCGTAAATGGCTACATATAAAGCAACCTGTAGATGGTTACTCGGTTGGATTAGGACTTCGGAGCGATTCGGCAGACTTCGGTTTCGTTCGGGTGTCACTCGTGTGCTGAATTGACGGTTATTTTCAATAGAAAAAAAGAATGAAAGGATCTTATATCTAAAAAACTTCTGCAAAATCTATGAATAAAATTCAAACTTACCTACTTAAAATTTTATGGAATTATATAAAAAAACACCGTGATGTTTCACATAATGGAGTTGTCATATACGAGATTATTATCCGTCAAACCGTTTGACTACATGGTTGGCGCGGTGGCTGAGCAACCGGCTGCCGCGCAACGTGTCGCGGGTTCAGTTCCCGCACATAACAACTCTTTGTGTGAGCCACAAATTGTTGTTCCGGGTCTGGGTGTGATGTGTTTGTGAAATTGTATGTTTATAAACGCACCTACGAGTCCCACGAGTCCACGACACAGGAGAAAATACTAGTGTGGGGTAACGGCAAATAAAGCAAAAAAAAAATAAGCACTATACGTGAAAAAATGTTCCAAATTTTAATTTGAAAACTAGAAAAGGAACATTGGCTTAAATAACTTTGACAAGTGACTCTAAGAAGAATGGCTGAAATGAAGTCAGGGTTTGAATCGCTTCCTTGAACGAAAAACTTTGAAGTTTGTCCTCATCCCTTTGTTTGCTTTAGAAGATAGTGATGTGCAGCGTTTTATTTTATTTTTAAATTAGTTGTCGATATTTTTTCGCAATTTTTTTCAATGTTGCAAGTGTTACAATCATCCGTCCATCCATTATTACAATCTTTCGCGTTTTTAATACTTGTAGATCAATGTAAAATTGGGCTTAAAGTCGCTTTAAAAATATATAAAAAACCATGTAAACTATGTACGAGTAACTATAAATAAAAGTTTAAACTAATATTGAATTAATATCAATCATTGGTTACGCCCATAGCACGTTTTCTACAAGAAATAGGACCAATATAATGTTGGTTTTCCTAATAACAGGGTAATTAATGGCTGGACACATTTATATTATACTAGCTACTTTCACGCGGCTTCACCCGCTGCTCGGCTCCATTTGATCGTAGCGTGATGTTTTAGCCTATAACACTCAGGGACGTTTTAGCTATCTGTCAGTGAAAGAATTTTGGAAATCCGACCAGCGGTTCCAAAGATTACCCCCTACATACAAACTTACAGACCTACAAATTTTACCTTTTTATAATATTAGTATAAATAATTTTCTGTTCA